TCAGAGAAAATAAATTTGTGAAAATCTAGCTATTGACAGTCTTCTAGGCTTAATTATTCATATTATACTTGTGTAATATACATTTCAAAGTTACATAGTAATACCTACAAAAGCAGGAACCTATGTAAGGTGTTATCTGTCAGAGAAGGAAAATTTTCATGTTTTTCATTAAAATGAGTGATAGAAAAGTGGTTTAGGACTTTCTGTTAAAAGCAGGAAATCTGTGAGACCTAGAAAAACACGGCAATCTCATTGAGTTCTGCTTTCTCACAGCTGACATTTACATTTTAATATAACCCACATCCATATACTCAATGCCAATATTTCACAAATTGGTTATTAAGACTACTGATGGTGATTTTAAAGTTGAAGATATTATAATGACAATGAACTCTTATGTAGTGGATAGATCTCTGAAGTCTGGACACCACTGAGATTTTTAAGGTTGATTATAACTAATTAATAATTCTTAATAGGACATCACCACCCAAGAGAAAGCACTATTTTAGCATAAAGATTGTATTCAATCCTTTATAATAGTAATTACATCTTGCATATCTTAAGAGCTTTTGTATACTTTAAAATGGAGCATGAATTATATGCCATACACTGTGCAAAGTATTTTATATACATTATTCCATATAAGCAGGGAGCTCTGGTGGCTTAGATGCAAGAAGCTGTGCTGCAATCCTGAAGGCACACAGTTCAAATACCAGCTGCTCTGCAGGAGAAAGATGTGAAATCTCCTCCCATGCAGTTAAACTGTCAGAGGGTCAGCTATGAGTCATTTTTGACTCGAGGGTACACAATAATTCCATATAAGCATTCCAAGCCATTAACAGTTTTTTTCCATATTATAGATATGGAAGCTGAAGGTCCGAGAATCAGTAAATGACATGCTTTCTGGTTCAAGTTCCGATGTTGACTCCAAAGCCCATTAGTTCGGTAACCATTATGCTGGCTTGCCCTTCAAAGTGCAAACCATCTGTAGTAGCTTTTACCATCTAGAAAACTTAGAACAAAAATATGAGTAACTCAGCCTTGACCAATGCACTAATAGAACTATTGGGAAACTACTGGGATCTGCAGTTAGGCAACTCTCCAAATTAATGAAGAGTACTGATTTCAGTTTGAGGACTAAGGTGCATCTGATTCAGGCCATAGTTTTTCTGATTACCTGTTAGGCACCTGAGAGCTGGACAGTGAATAAGGATGTCAGAAGAAGAATTGATGATGCCTTTGAGCTGTGGTGTTGGAGAAGAGCACTAAACATCCCATAGATGGCCAAGAGCACAAACAAATACATCTTGAAGAAAGTGTAGCCAGAGTGCTCTTTGGAAGCAAGAATGATGAGACTTTGTATCACATACTTTAGGAATGTTGCTAGGAGGGACTATTCCTTAGAGAAGGGCATGGTGCTGGGAAGGGTAGAGGGAGGGTCAGTGAAGGAGAGGAAGACCCTCAACCAGGTGGATTGACAGTGACTGCTGCAATGGGCCCTTGTGTGACAGGAAGTATGAAGATGGCACAGGATAGAACAGGGTTCAGATCTTTACTACGAGTTGTACTCAACTCGATGGCACCTTACAACAACAACAACAGGGATCTACTAATATTAGTACATATTCATGAGGTAAAAAAAACACAAAACAAACCACATCTGAATTTGGGAATGCTGATTAGAAAGGAGTAGCACTCCTAGCCTTAAAAACAGCCCCTCTCTGCTTCATGTGGAAATTAATAATGACTCGACTCTTTCTGTACCAAATGAAGAAACCTTAACTTTGAACAAAGTGTCCTAATCTGACATGTTTGAACAAGGTTCTTTTTGCTGCTATGTTAATAAAATATTGTAGGAGAACAGACTTTTGAATTCTCATGGACACTAGACTTTGGAGTCAGGGAAAGTACAAAAAACCACTACAGAAACTCCTGCTCTGAGAAAAATCTGTAAGTCCTAAACCAAAAAATTTCCTCTACAGTTGTAAAAGCAAACAGTAGCTTAAAAAAAAAAAATAAAACCACACACCAAAAAGTCCTAATAAGAGAAATATGATCTTACTTGTATAGTTTTACTTGTTTTCTTTTTTTTTCTTTTTTTAGTTTTACTTGTTTTACTCAAAAAAAGTAACAGTGGGAGATACACTTAATTCCCAAAAGCATCCATAAAGACATTAATTTCTTAATGTTTATTACTCAGGACTTGATATATTTGTATTGCTCAGACAGGAAAAATAATATATTTCATAACAATATCATAAGGAGAGTGTTCAAAAATAAACATGCTTATTTTAAAAAAAGTTATATTTCAACTATCTATATAAATCAAATTGACAAGTTAACACCAAAGATTTGGGCAAAAGTGAATTTGAATTAATGGAAGAGAAGTAACTCAGAAAAGGAGGGTGAGAAAGTAGAATGTAATCACTGTCACATTTAAAACCTGTTTAAATGTTTAGAAACTGAACATGATGGGTTGTGGTTGTATCCTCAACACAACAGAAGAAATTAAAAAGGAAAAGAAACAAATACTGTAGAATCAAAATACTGTAGAGTCATGCTAGAGGTTCTTAAAAATCACTCAGGCTTGAAGTGATAATGATTTGGACTGCGTGGAGCAGCTGGAGTGTTGAAATGTGACTTCTTGTTGTTGTTGTGTACCATAAAGTTGGAATTGACCTGTAGCTGACCCTCCAGAAGGTTTTCAGAGGCAGTTAATTGTATGGGAGGAGATTGCCCATCCTTCTCCCATGAACTGTTGAAGTGTTGAAATGTGACTGGATACCAGAAACCTTTTTTAGGGTGGATTCTATATAGAGAGTGAGAAGGAGGGGAATGGAGGACTCCCCAGATTGTTGGTCTGAGCTAATGGAAGAATGCCTCCCTCTGCCACAATAGGGAAGACTGTGAGAGCAGGGAAATTTCTGGGGTGAACAGAACAAAGGGAGTTATTAGGATCACAGTTTTTTTAGATGGCCTTACAACTAAGTGGAGATGAAAACAGGTTCAGATCTATTTAAAAGGAATATATTATTAGGTATTATTTGCATGACAACAGTCCAGTATTAACATAGCACAGTAGACTGGGGCGGAGGAGGAAATTGTGCAACAATGAATGAATGAATGAATGGAAATCCAAGCTCTATAAACTTTAGTTTATAAGTTATAGTTATAAGTTATAACTTATATGTAGCTTATAAGTTATAACATATATATATATATAACTTATATATAGTTATAATTTAGTTTATAAGTTATAGTTATAGTTAAAAGTTAAAAAAAATAAAAATAACTATCATTGTATCTCAAAGTTCATAGAGTTCCCAGAGGCATGTTGTTTAGGAAGTGGATGACACTCCATATTTAATTTAAATGAATCCAAGGAGATACGATCACCCATCACCCGGGTGGTGTCAAGGGTTTTCTTTTTCACTTGGCTTTTCTATCCCTTGATATCCTAAGGCTCCACCCCACCAAAATTCAGTTATCAAACTATGGATATTGTGTCTAATTGAGGAAAACTCCTTGTACTATATATTGTGAAAACTGAGGTTGCCTAAGTCTGCTGTGAGGCCAGTATTGATTGGATGTGCTAAATGGGAAATATTAGAATTGCCTCTACCCACACAGGCAATTCATTTAAAGAAATATAGGTTACCTACCTAATGGATGAAAGTCAAACTGCTTTGATTGAAAGCTCGCTAAAGGTTTGAGTAAAGCATGGTCCAAACCGCCATGCTTAGATCCCCTCATGGTGTGGTTTATGTTATGCCCCTCGGTTCTAAGAAAAGATGATTACGTTTGGAACTCAGGACCCCTCACTCTCGATTGCTCGGATTACCTACCTGACCTGAGCCAGCCACCTCACTCCACCTGATACCATCAACAGGCACAAAAACTTCTCCAAGATCTTCCACTGAATTATTGAGCCCAGAAACAGGGATGGGAGGGTTTGTGGTGGGAAGGAAGAACAGTTAATATTGACAACGATGGAGTGGTTAACAGAATGAATATTTTGTGTTCTGCCTTTTTGTGGTTAGTTGATTATGATTTCTTTGGTGTTAAAATTGTAAGCCTTTCTGTGGGTGATTTGGTGTAGATCAGAATTTAAATTAAACATCAGGAGAGTGGACATAGATTCTGAAGAGAAGATATCTAAGCCTTAAATCCTAAACTATCCCAACAGTAGGCCTGGAGATAGAAACAACAAAGAAAAACTGAGCAGCTGGAAAATTAGTCTGTTTATAGGAAGAGACACTGGAAATGAGGAAGAGTATTTTAGAAGAAAAGGGTGGTCAACTTGAATATTGTTGCTAAAAGCTAGTAAATGAGTTTAGAAAGTAACCACGGTCACTGATAACTTTGATAGAATATTTCTAGTGGAGCACAGAGTGTGGAAATGATTGCTTCAGGAGGTTCAGATGAGCAAAGAACCGTAAGAAACTATCTGTAGACACCTCTTTCTGACAGTTTTGTTGTAAAAAGAAAAGGACATGGCTGCTGGCCAGGAGGCACTTGCCAACCTGCTGGAGCAGGATTGTCTTGGGGTTGCTGACAGTCACATGCATAAATGTGAGCAGGAGCTGTGAGAACAGTCACTGACCTCAAAAGACCTTCCCATGGCAAAATGTATAGCTTTTTTGATTTTGAATTCTTGTTGATGCATCAGTGACCAAAAGATTAAGCTAGTTCACCTTTTTTCCACCTGGCTAATCCACCCTTACACTCTTTTGATATAATCATGCTTCTGTTTTAAATATGAGAAATTTGTTGGTCAAGGTCTATAGTCTTTTGTACAAAGCCATGTGATAATTGCGAGATGGGCATGAGATTTGATATGTGTTCCTACCAACACATTCCATTTATCCAGTGACTCTATCACAATGGACCATTAGCATCCATTTTGGAAGATGGTGTGTTTGACAGTAAAGCAGTGCCTTCTTAAAGTTTGTTCTCAATCTCTAAATAAAGGATTGCATCTGGTGACTTGTTTTCCACAGGGTCCCAGCGAAACAGACGTCGTCGTGAGGCCAGCCTCTTTGCAGCTGAGTAGTTCGCCCTTTGGGAATTCGTCTTTGAGAAGGACAAAGCGAAAAGCACCATTGCCACCATCCAAAAGGCCTCTGCATCAAAGTGAGGAAAACAGTCACATGATGGGTAAATAGGGCTTTTCCTTTAACACAACATTGTCTGCTTTGTTTAATGTAGACAGTAGAAGTGATGGAGCTTATGGGGGTTTTCCCTGGTTTTTTTTTTCATTGACGAATAGCTTTCTGTAAGTATTTTAGGTGGTCTATGATTTTCACTTCATTGCTTTTTAAAGTCAGCTATATAACAATTAGGTAGCAAATAGTTCAGATGTGTTGTTATTGTTGTTGTTGTGTACTGTCAAGTTGGAATCAACCCATAGCTGACCCTCTGGCAAGTTTTCAGAGGCAGTAAAATTATTTGTATGGGAGGAGATTGCCCATCCTTCTCCAGCATATTAGTTGGTGAACTACATGCCTTCAGGTTTTGCAGCACAGCTTTTTGCCGTAGCCACCAGTGCTGCCTTCAGAAGTATTATTGTTGTTGATTGCCGTTGAGTCTAGCACGACTCATAGTGACCTTATGAACAAAACGCCTGAAGCCTTTCTATAGCTATTGTCATTTCTCAAAGTTCATAGAGTTTCCAGAGGCATGCTGTTTAGGAAGTGGATGCCCCGCCTGCTTCCAAATCAAATGTATTAGTGGGAGCATATTCAGAAATAGACTCGTTCCAGGATTACTACAGTGAATCTGAATGAAGCTAGTTTTATCATACCTACAGAATAAAATGTTTTTTTCCAAGGTTGAGGTTCATCTCTTTACTAAAAAGCAAAGCTGAACTTCTAAGGAATTGTTTCCTTTGAGAGTGTGACATGCTTATAAGTGTTGTTTTTTCTAGTGTCACCATCAGAGGAATCAGCTTCTCCCCATAGTGTTTCAGAAGCAAACTCACCTGAGGGGTTATCTAGCCCAGGTAAGACACTTGGATTCTACATCTTGTAATTAGTAAATGAGAGCTTTTATCACAATCAAGAATCTAATCCAGTTACAAGACCCTCTGTGTGATACCAATTTTCATGTCATTAAGTAATTTTCTCCCTAATCTGGGGTGAAAGTATGGAACTGATAGTGCTCACAATTTTCATTCTGGAATGGTGCCATGAGTAAATTCCGTACGGCACCACTTATTAACCTTCTCAGAATAGTGGCACATCACAGATAAGAAGGTCTTTTGGTGTAGTCAATAGAAAACTTGCATATAGATATAAAGCACTGTCTTTAAGCTGTTGTCCCAGGTGTGAATGCAGTATTCATAGTATGCACTACAATACTGGGAGTTTTTATTCTTTTGAAAATACTTTCTGTCTTCTAACTCAATTTGATTTTTCTTCAATTTGAAAGTTCATTAAAAAATAACTGTTTTCAGGAATAGCTATTTAGCTGTTATTAAAAAGATTAGTACAAAGTTTCTTAATTTTGACAATGTAGCTGTTAAATATAATGTGAAAGTTATACAAATAAAAACAATTATGCTTTGGGAATAAACTGGTAAGTATGAAATTTGCTTATTTACAACCAAATGCTGCTGAATTACCATTTTTAAGTGATATTTAGGAATTTGAAAACTTTATTACTGAAGGAGAGAGATGGACAATCTCTTCTCATGCAGTATAGCCTCCGAAAAAATGCTGGAGGGGTCAGCTATGAATCACTTATGACAACAGCAATGAGTTAGAACTGTGTTTTTATTTCTTTTCTAAATAGTCCTGATACAAAATAATGTTGATAAAAATTTTGTAATTTAAAACTCTACTATTTATTAACTGGTAATGCTTTTTCTAAGCTTCTATCGAGAATAACATCACAAAGGAAATTTTTTTAAACAATATTCACTTATTTATTCCACAAAGGAGATTTTTTAAACAATATTCACTTAAACTAGATATGTGAATGAGAAGTTTCTGGAGTGTTCAGGGAATGTATGAATGTTATTGAAAGTTTGCTTAAGATCTTTTTTCATTTTTTACTACTGTTCAATGCATGGGTAACTGAGCTGGCAAATCTGAATCCTTCCAACACCCTTCTTGGTGTCTGCTTGCCTTAACTGTAATGGTTTAAGTGCATTTCCACAGATTGTACTTTTTTAGCAGAAGCCTCCCCTGACTCTGGGCTGTCCAGTCACAAGCAAAGCACTGCACCCGTGCTCACCACTGAGACCTCTGCTTCCGAGCATTCTGGGACATCTGAGGCGGCTGCGGCATCACTGACATGTAGGTGTGAGGTCTTTCCTGTAATACAGATTAAGACATCATTATATATAGATCCAGTTTCTCATTAGAACCTTGTAGAAAAATATTACATAAACAGCTATGCTGAGAGTTTCTTTTCTTAGGTAAGTATAAGAATCTGATGAATAAAATCAGTGGCCCTGAAAGAATTAAATTTCTTCTTAGCTTTTTAATTTGGGGGAACACTTTGACTTTTTAAAATTATTTTCAATGTATAGCAATATAAATATACCATCAAGTATTACCACTCTAGGAAAAAATGAAACCTATATTTATAAAAAAAAATCAGCATGTGAGGCATTACAGTGTATTTATTTATTATTACCATAAATTGGGAACAACTCAAATGTGTCCCTGATCTGAGAATGGTAAATAAACTAGAGGAATTTTTTTTTTGCGATACTATTTACAAAGAAATGAGTAACATGTATGCAGGAAGGCAGATAACTCTTGAAAGTTAGATAAAGGAAGCCAAACTCAAATGATTGCAGGCTGTGTTTCATTCAAACAGCATTTGTACAAAGGCAAAAGTATGGGAATACTGATTTTCAAGAGCTGGGTTTAGGGGGCATGGGTTGGCTGACCAGGTTGGCTATTGGTTATAGGGGTATTTTGAAATGGTTTTTTTTAATGAATTTTTTCTGTATCTTAATTGTATGGTAGTTATGTAGTTAAGTTTGTCAAAATTAGAACTACTCTATTTTAAAAGGGTGAATTTTACAGAATACAAATTATACTTCAGTTTTTTTAAAAATGAAAAAAGCAAAATCAGCTTTCCCTGGGGAAAATTACAGCAATACATGATATTTTGTTTAATGAATAATATTTTTTAAAGTATTTCGCTAGAATAGATTTTATTTGGTACAATTTTAGCAAAGAGTAATATTTATCAAGCACTTTTACCATATTGGAATGCTGTGTAATTTTCCTAGAGATTATTCTAAAATGTTTAGTGAAATATTGTTTTAATAACTTCACAAGTAAAATGCTAGAAACATCTTCTGAAAATGGACTTATTTGTATGAATTTCAAATAGTTTTATTTTTGTTTGAGTCAATGTTTACTATCTTCAGGCGACTGAAAATATAAAAAGAAAAATATTCAAATTATGTAAAACTCAAATATAAAATAAATTTAGGTAATTATACTTTCAAATTATTTTGTAAACTTACAGTATTATACTCTAGTCTGGAGTTGTTAAATCTTCTTCCTTGACCATTTTATGAAGCTGAAATAATAAGTTGTGTGCTAGTATTTGTCAATAGTATTCAGTTGCTTTGTTTAGTCCTAACTCCATCTTTTAATTGGACTAAAATTTGACCATCAAATAGTTTTATTTATACAAAAAAGTACTGAATACAATATTTTCAAAGCAAGGGAAAAACCTGTACCTGTTAGAACAATAAACTATGAAAATGCTTTGGATTATTAAAAGTATTTTTGGTTTGTTTTTTTTTTTCATTTTCTAAGACTTTATGATGATAATTATGCTTTTAAAGTAAAAAAGCTAAGATATCTCAGACTGCCTAGATAACTATCAGAAGGGAGCTCTGATAGCCTAGTGGTTAATGAGTTGTGCCATCAACCCAAAAGCAGGCAGTTCCATTCTACCAACTGCTCCATGGGAGAAAGATAAACTTTCTTTTCCTGTGGAATTTACAGCCTCTGAAAACCTACTGGAGGCTCAGCTATGGTTCCATAAGCAAGCAACGGCATTGAGTTTTGAGTTCTATAACTACCAAGTTTAATTTTTTTTTCAACAAGGATGTCTTTCACTATTTAGATGTTAATTGAGGCGAATTTTTAGAAAAGGTGTATATCTCTGAAATATTAATCATAGGAAAGAGAATAGCATTGTAGTTGCTGTTGTTCATAGGTGCCATCGTATCAGTTGTGACCCAGAGTGAGTCCATGTACGACAGAAATCTTGCCTCGTCAGTCCTGCAGTACCCTTGAACACTATCATGCTCACCTCATTATGGTCATCACTATTTCAGTCCCTCTTTTTTTTAAAAATAACCTATTTTTATTTTTTTATTTTGATCACATCATCTGAATATATTTATAAATATAGTCAAGGATTATATATATTTAACATTATTTCATAAATTTTTCTCATTTCATTTTGGTAGGGAATACTTGTATTATTTTCATTGATTCCTTTAAAGGATCAATCTACCATTGTAACACTACTTAGTCTCATTAGACTTCCTCAGATCCTGATGCCACATATGTCTTCCTAAAGTCTAGCTTCTAGGACGATTTGCTGTGCATACAGGATGAATAGTTATGGAGAGAGGACACAGCTCTAACACACATCTTTTTTTTTCAGTTGTGCAGTATTTCACTCCATCTTAGTGCAGATCTTCTCCTCCAAGCATGATGTCCATTTTCAGGATTTATTCACTCCGCATAATATGCCTAAAATATGTGAAATAAATTCTTACCATCCTTGCTTCTAAGGAGCGTTCAGATTTGTCTTCTTACAAAACAAATTTGTTTGTAGTTTTTGAAGTGTGTAGGATATTCTATACTCTTTACTAGTACCGCAAATCAATGGCATAAATTCCTTTTTTGTCTTATTCATTGACCATCTTTCACAAGAATATGGAGCTATTTAAAAGACCATGGCTTAAGTCAGGCACACCATAGTCTTTACACAGACATCCTTGCTTTATAGCACTTAAAAAAACAACCCGAAACCTCATTATCCTCAGGTCAGAACCTACACATACTTGAGCCTCCAGCAAGTTTCCAAAACTATAAATTGCACAAGAGGATGCTTTCTATCTTGGTCCTAGAGAGCCTTTGGTTTAGCAGCACAACTCCCGACAGACCCAGCACCCCAACAGGTGGTTGGGTAGCAATCAACAATTTTCTAAATGTTACCCAACTATTGTAATTTACAGATTACCTTCATATTCTAAAAAGCCATTTTAAAAATACATTAGTGTCTAAACCACCATGACTTTTCATTTTCTGAATTTATAGTTTTAAATTATAAGTATGTTGCATAAATGCATTTTGTCATGTTTTTTTCACATAGTATGTCCACATGTTGAAAGCTTAGCAAAATAGGGGATGAGTCCTTAGTTGACAAAAAGAATAAAACTAAAACCTATAAAATGTATTTGTATTTGCATACAAATGTAGCAGGTAAATGGCTTTTAGTCCTGATATTTATTGCATGTTAAAATCAATTGGATAGCCTAAATGTGTGTTGACACCATTCCCAGTATTAATAGATTAATAGATTTGAGATCAAGTTTGATCACTATATTTTTAAAAGAGGTTCAGGTAATTTAAAAATGGAGTAGGCAGAGTTGACCCTTGAACAATATGGATTTGGTCTGGCCATGTCCACTTGAAGCTATTTTCCTGTTGCTCTTGAAAGTGATCTAAACCATTGAGAGTCCCACCTTACAATGCTTTGTGATACTCATCAGTTCTACATGAGAGTTTGTCCCAAAAACTCTGTATCTCAGTAAAAAGTGATTAAATGGATTTTTTTTTTCTTGTGTTAAGGCAACAACTTTAACTCCCTTGTACCTCAATGGTCAATTTTACAAGTGCATGAATCTTGAAAAAAAGTATCATTGCAATTGAATTGGAGTGAATTTATAACTGACCAATTTTCCTGGTTCCTGAGGCTATAAATTGCCAGTGAAGAGCTAGGCAGTCCTTCTCCCACAGAGCCACTGATGGATTTGAACCATGAGAGAGTGCTGGCCTTTGTATTAGAAGTACAACTCCTGTAGACCAAGCCACTTGAGCTTTCTAAGCCAATATAAAATCTTATCTAATTTTCATTGAAGAAAGCATTTAAAACTATTTCATTAATACAGAAATAATTTGATTGAAAGATACAGTTTTAAATAACATAATTTGAAGTGTATGAGAGTAAATAAATAACCCTTTTCTACCCTGAGAAAAATCTAATTATAGTATATTTTCAGAATTGTGTATTCCTAAAATAATCTGGTAATATGTCAACATGATCATCTGCTATTTTCACTTCTGAAATGGTTTTTCTTTTAACTCAGAATGTAAGAGTCCAGTTAATTATTTCAAACATTCCAACCTTGTACAGGAGAATGCAAACTAACATTTAGAATTATGCCTGTATTTCTTTGTAGCTGGAGTAAGTTCTGATTATAGTCTTGAAGAAATAGATGAGAAAGAAGAACTGAGTAAATTGCCTAAAGATGAGGCTGAAAATATTTCACCAAAATTAAAAGACATTCCTTCTGCATCTGCTGATATAATAAATACCACAAAAAATGATTCTGACTCAGTCCTTGGCAATGATATTGAAGAGTCTTCACAAAACTCCAAGGAAGAAAAACAAGAAACTAGAAACACAGATGGACTGTAAGTATTATGTGTGCCAAAAAGTTCTCCATAGATCATCTAAGAGAAGGTTGGGGTGCATTTGACGCCTACTCCTAATCATGAGAATTAGAAACTATTGTGTAGTCTGCTGATACTGTATCTAAATTGCTGCACTATGAATTGAGATAGCCACAATAAACAATCCACACCAGAGTTTTCTACTAATTTCCATAGAATTGTCTCTACACACTTCAAACTTTTTTCCAGGAAAGGCATCAATGAGGCCAATCCATATCCTTTTTTGTACAGTTGTCCTTGCCACATGCAAGCTAAGGTGGTCCATTTAGTTTCCTTTAAAAAGAAAATCAGCTAATAATAAAATGTCCTGGGGGGAAAAAAAACACTGTTCTGGGAAAATGTCCATTTGACCAAGCACCTTCCCTCCTTCTTTAAAATAGGACTACCAGATGAAAGCTAATACTTCCAACAGCATTTCCTCTCAATTATTTCCGCCCCCCCTTGCTATCAAATTTCCTGTATTTGGCAGAAAATGATGATTAGTTTCATCCATCTGTCTTTAGAAATTATTGCCTGTTCTTTTACTCTTCTGTGTGTGTGTGTGTGGTGGATGCTACTGATAACATACATTATCATATCTTGCAGAGGGCCACATGTATATAACACAAGCAATGCAGAGACGGCAGTTGACAGTGTACAAAACTTGAAGTCATTGGGCTCAAGCCCAAAGAATGGTAAGTTAGATAAGCATTGATAACCAACACTTTTACTGCACTTACTATGAGCCAAGGACTGTTCTTAGTAATTTATGTATATAAACTCATTTAATTGTGTTATTAGGAGGCTCTGGTGGAATAATCCTTCAAGAGCTATGCTGCTAACTCAAAGGCCACTCCTTTCTGATGGTGTGAGCGTTTCCACAAGGGAACGGTGGGCTTTCTCTTCCTGTGCTGTTTACAATCTCAAAAACCCAATGGTGGATCAGGGATGACTTCATTCTGACTTACTTTTTAAGATACAATTTATTATCACTTTGCAGATGATGAATTATAAAAACGAAAAACTTACCCAGTTCTGTAACTTATAAACACTTGATCAAGGATTTGCACTTCAGCAATATTTCTCCAAGGTCCATCATGCACATTATCACTCCTCTCCCCAAAATAATCACTTTGGATATTGTATCTTAAAAATGTACATTGTGTGTGTATATATTTCTGACCTATTTGTCTTTCCTTCTACCACCTCTTTATTCCAAGGCTGTTTGTAATCAAATAATTATGCCTTGAGAAACTTGTCTACCTGATTTTCAAGAATCCATCTAATTAGTTAACTTCCACTGTTTCCCAACACCATCCCCAACTCAAGAGAGTTTATTTATTTGCTCATGGACTGTAAGCAGGTTTTTGATTGTTCTTGCTGTGTACCTTCAAGTTGAAAGAACTGATTCACTGCTAACCCTCCAGCAGGTTTTTGGCAACTATAAATCACACAGGAGGAGATTGCCTGTATTTTATCACAGAGAAGGTAGTATCTTTAGGTTGGCAGTACAACACCTTAACCACAAAGCCACCAGAGCTCCCGAAACCTACAGAAAAACCTGTATCATCTATCATTGTCCATCAACTTCTATCTAAATCCTACTTCTTTTCCCTACTTCACAGTTTTTCTGCCTGACTTCAGCCATGGACTTCTTTAGTCTTCACACTTCAACTAAATGGGATATTCTTTAAAAAATTATATCTGATATTTTGAACTATTTATAGCACCTATAATACAGAGTATATAGTAGATGTTGCAGAAAATATGTACTTTAGAACCAGCAACCAGGAAATTAAAAGACAAATTGCATTGGGAAAGTCTGCTGTCAGAGACCTCTCAAGTACTGAAGAGCAATGATGTCAGTCTGGAGACTAAAGTGTGCCTGATACAGGCCATGGTCTTTGTAAATACTTGCTATGCATCAGAAAGTTGGACAATGACTAGGGATTATAGAAGGATGTCTTTGAGTTGTGATACTAGAGAAGAGTATTGAATAGACCATGGACTGCTCGGAGAACAAACAAGTTCATCCTGGAGAGGGTAAAGCCAGGCTCCTCCTTGGATGCAAGGATACTTTGGATATGTACAAGGCGGGATCAGTCCTTGGAGAGGGACAGCGTAGACCCTCGATGAGATGGATTGATTCAGTCACTGGGTAATGAGGGTAAGCATGTCGGAGACAATATGATTGACAAGGGAGGGCAGGATTTAAGACTGTCAAGAGTCGCTGTCAATTGCAAGCTATTCAACAGCACATAACAGCATAAATACTTGTATTTAAGAAGATGAGGGCAATTCTAATGCTTAAAATCAATGCCATTTTACATCTGGTGTGCATCAATTAACTTGAATATTTGCATCCTTGAAGGCCTAAAGTATATTATTTCCCAATGCTTTTTCTCCTGATTTCAGTTTCTCATATTGCAATGACAAAGCATTCCTATTGAGACATCATGATTTGTAGCTGCTCACTTATTTTCGATACAATACTTTTATTCACTAAGATTTTTACATCCATTTAATGCTAGAGTCACAACTATACTTGTTGGTTGTTGTTGTTATGTGCCGTCGAGTCACTTGCAACTCATAGCGACTCTGTGTACAACAGCCCTAAACTCTGCTCTGTCCTGTGCCAGTCGCACTGTCTCTGACATTCCCATCCCGATTACCCCAGTCCACCTCATAGAGGGCCTTCCCCTCCTGTGCTGTCCCTCCACCCTCCCAAGCATGATGTCCCTCTCCAAGGACCGGTTCCTCCTTACAACGTCTAAAGTATGTTAGATGAAGCCTTAGAATCCTCCAAGGAGCCTCCCAATTTAACCCTTTCCAGGATGAATCTGTTTTCCTAGCAGTCCATGGTACCCTCAATACTCTTCTCCAGCACCACAGTTCAAAGGCATCAATTCTTCTATCCTCCTTAGTCATTGTCCAACTCTCTGATGCATAACAAGTGATAGCAAAGACCATGGTCTGTATCAGATGCGCCTTAGTCTCCAGAGAGACACCACTGCTCTTCAGCACCTTGGAGAGGTCCCTAACAGCAGACTTTTCCATGGCAATATGTCTTTTAATTTCCTGGCTACTGGCGCCAAGAGTGACTGTGGAGCCAAGCAAACAACTATACTTAGATACTAATAATTATCATTTGTACTGGATTTGCAATGAACTTGACATTTGAACTGATTTCTAAAATAAATTTTTGTTGTATGCTTAAAAAGCTTTATTCCATTTTAATTTTTTACCAGTGAAGGAGCTCTGGTGGCACTGTACTAAGGGAATTTAGCTGCTAGCCAAAAAGAAATTGTACTCTTCTCCCCAATGGTGCTCCTTGGAAAAGACACCCTTCTCCCCAGTACCCATCCTTGGAAAAGGCTCCCTGCTCCCCAGTGGCCATCCTTGGAAAAGATGCCCTTATCCCCAGTGCCTATCCTTAGTAGATGCCTAACCACTTTTAGATATTAGGTTAGCATCATTGTAAGGATGAATTAGCTACTAAACTGGTGATTCTGAGTTTCCAGGATATACAGATTTTAGTCTGACAATTATTACAGATAATCTCAAAGTGTTGATGAAAATTTCAGTGTTCTCTCAGTATCCTCTGCCATTAAATCGGCTCTGACTCTTGATGACCATCCATCAAGTTTCCTTGTTGAAGGACTTTGCCCATCTTCTTCTCCTGGTTTGGAGTGCCCAACATTTGGATATATTATATGCGACAATAGAAATACAGAACTCTAGGTTTGAAACCAATAAATTAGACCTAGTATAGGAATTTAATGAAAATATATTATCTGCTATCTTTTGGAAAATATTTCTGTTGTAAAAATTATAGATCAAGATAGATATTTTTAAATTAAATTCCTATAACCAGCCCTAATTTCTTGTCTAAGCCTAGATTTCTGTTTTGCACATTCTGTTAGGTTATACATCATTTACTCTTGTAGCATAGTATGTGAAACTCTAGGAAGTACATGATCTCTTTTAGATGACAACTCTCAAGACCCATACATCACTTATGTAACTGCCAAATCCAAAAAGGGAAAACCAGAGAGGGTTTTGAAGGTAAGGGCCAGTGGTTACGCATGAGGTGATCCTTGTGTGCATTCAAATACAGAAGCAGGATCTAAAAATCACAGTGTTCAGTATTATAGACATTGTATATACTCATTAACCTTTTCTCCTTCCAAGTGCCTTACTCTAGTTCTTTGTCATCATGTTATTGCCTAGCAGCTGTTGCTTTGTTAACCTAGATACTGACAAATGATTTTCTCTTTCAGGATGACTGAATTAGAATCAAGAGGGAAAGTAGCACAGTGAGAGAGACATTGTTCTCTTCACTTGGGCTCTGACTCTTGAAGAATAAGTGTACTGTTTTTCCAGAGAAATCCACAGCATGATTGTTTTTAATGTAATTGCAATCATCCATGTGTAGACCATAAACAAAACCATCTAAAAAGTCTTCAGTGCCGATACCTGATTAACAGGATAATCAGCTTAGGCTCTGTTTCCACATGAATCTTTAAAAGTAGTGCTTCCTTCTGTCTGCTATAATGAAAATTGACATTTGTTGGAACAGTTTTCTTTTGATGCAAGGTATAAAACACCACAGACTGAAACATGAAGTCTTATATGAAGAAGAGTTACTTCCCATAAAGTTTTTGTTCTCTACAATACCCTATCCTGTTAATAGTGTTACAGAATGTGATAAAATAGATCATTTTCACCATTTTACATATGAACAAACTGTGAGGCTTAAAGAGTGTTCAAGCCAGGTTCCTAGCTCAGGCAGCTAAGATATTATTGCTGTTACTTCTTTTTATATAATTAGTGAGTGGAGAATTACCTCCACATTACAAGTTTCCATTTGTAAGAGGTAGACATTGAATACTTGAATTTCTTTTTTAAAATATGTTTAACTTGATATGTTTTTTCTTAATAGATCAAAATGAAGTAATTAAAACAGAAGATAATGAGAAAAATGGGGTGAGGAGGACAGAGATGAATGTAGCAAGTGTTGCCCAAAGTAGCGACAT